TAATCCACAGTAACTTAAGTGAATTAATGTATGTGTAGTCACACCACAAAATCCTTAACTCTGCAGTGAGTATTAAATAGTAGTAAAATAGTCACTGTATTATATAGTAGTAAAATAGTCACTGTTTTGCACATAAAAGCAAAAATAATCTACCATGATGATTTTAAAATGAAATAGAGCATGCTACATATCTAAATATCTCAATATAGTAACTACTAAAAGGAAGTTGTTGATTTACAATCATGCTGAGGAGTACGCTGGGGACCTGAATTATACCACGTGGCTGTGTGTAACTTTTTCTATAACAATGCATTGTATGGAAGGCAGGCCAGAGGAGTACTTTCCAGATGGACTGACCATAAGGAAATCCAGGACATCAGAGACATTCATCCTGGACACTGCCCCTGGCCCCACCGCATGCTCTCACAAGTTAGCAGGGGCTGGCTGGGGTGGTGTTCTGGGCAGGCAGTAATGCTTGCCTGCCCACTTGCAAGGCACTCTGCACCATGCAGTCTGACTCCCAGCCAGAATGCACCCTGTGGCCTTGCATTTCTATGACGCCCATTATAATTTGCAATAGCCGGCTGGGACCTGCCTCTGAAATCCAGGGCTGTCCTGGCTAAACCTGAACATATGGTCATCCTACTTATAGACCAAATTATTCAGAGGCACGAGCTTTCAAAGGCTGCCGCCTATTTCATCAGATGCTACAAAGTAGGCTGTGGCCCAGAAATTCTCAAGAAGGGTGCCACAGCACCCTTGGGTGCCTCGAGATCCTTTCAAGAGTGCTGCAGGGTGCCATACAAATGTTAGCACGTTTAGGCCTGCAGACATAATTCACAAGATAAATCCAGAGATTTCAAATAGAAATCCATTGTTGCGGTCTTTCTGAGTTCTATTATTTTTCTGTAGCCAAAAAGAACGTGATAACTAGGAACTGGCATTTTCTGAGGGGTGTCTGGAGTCAATCCAGGGATGTCTTGAGTCTAAAAAGGTTGGGAACCACTGCTGTAGACAACAAAAGCTTGTGCCTTTCTGAAAGAGTTACTCCATAAGGAGCCACACTACCCTGCTTTCTGTGTAACTTCAGACTAACAGGGCTAACTACCTCTCACTAAGGTCTTATATTGCTGCAGTTCATAAGACTGCTGTGTTGTAAATACTAAAAAAGAGAATGGGTAGGATAGTTTCACATGTTAGGGGGCTGGAAGGGACTGCTGGGGTCAGATGACCGTAGCAAGGTGGTTTGAAGATTGCCAGGGTGGATGACTGTATCACCTCTGGGGTGAGCCTGTTCCAAGTCCACAGCACTCAACTTGTAAAGAAGGTTTTCCTAATGGTCCCTCACCATCCAATCTGTATATGGTAATATGCCTGGAGCTTCCTGCTTATGCGCTGTCAAGCCAGGCCATGGGCAGCCAGGTCTGGGGCTTACCTAGGGTCAGCAGAAGCCAGATCTGTCCAGGGAATCGAGTCAGAGGGTCAGGCAGAGTGTGAGGTCAGGAAGTTAGCCAGATCAAGTATCCAGAGGGTCAGGCAGAATGCAAGTTTAGGTGGCTAGCTGGGTCAGGTATCCATGCAGTTGAGACTGAGATGGGTCAGGTATCCAGAGGGTCAGGCAGAGCATGAAGTCAGGAGGCTAGTTGGGTCAGGTATCCAAGGAGTTCATCAGAGCCAGCAGCAGCAGCACAAGCCAAGGGTATGGCAAATACAAGGGGCTAAATACAAGGTTGAGCCTTGTTGCCCAGACACTTCCTCAGCAGCTATGGGGTTTCCATTGGAAGGGGTGAGGGGCCAGCTGACCCTGGTTAGCCACTCTGGTGGCAGGGAGTGGGCATCTGGCTAGGTTCAGTTAGAGGCTTCTGGCCACCTGTATCCATATCAATGCTCTTTAAAGGAGGTGGCAAACCAGGATGAGTGGCCATACCAGGCAGGGCAAGGCCAGAGCCCAACATGTGCTGAATGTGGGACCATATTCATCATCCCTCCCTTCCTGCATCTCACTCGGTGGGTCTGAGTTCTGTACTGGTAAAGACAGTGGAGGCTAGGTTCAGCTGGCTGGAGCAAGAAAAAAAGACCTTCTATCCATGAGAATTAAGTGAGTTTGTATTGATTTCTCAGGTAATCACTCACCTGTGACCAAGAGACAAGAAGGTGCTGTTGATGTTATAATAGAGCCAGTTCATTCGCTTGGATGGCTGTCTTTGTCTGGATTCCAGACATTTGGCAGATTTGAAGCTAAACCACAGAGCATATTCCAGATTGGGATGACAAATCCAGCCCCACAAAAATCATAGGGGAGTTCTGTGGGAGGAGTGGAGGGAGTTTCACAGTGATTTTATCCACTAGAGCTTTCTCTCCTGAACTTCACCATGGGAAGAGATGATCCAGCCTTATGTTAGTTATCTATGTACCTCATATATTTAGTAGATGGAGGCTCAGATTCTATTCTGCCTATTAAGGTTGTATCCACATGAGTGTGGATGTTTGTTTTCTCAGGGACAAGAAGCAGCAGCATACCTTGTGCCACTGCTACTTGTCCCCAGGGAATGCCTGTGGCATGCGCCCTTTGGTGCACAGCAGATTATTCTGAATGGGATAGGAGAGACTGGGGCCAGCACTGGGCTGGCCCTAGCAGTCTTAACTGGGGTCCTGGGGTCCTCCTGGGGTTGCAGCAGTGGCAACCCTGTTGCTTAGAGCCTGGTTGGCAGCCAGAGTGTGGCTCTGCCCAGCCAGGCTCGTTTTGGATGCTGCCCCCATGTGCACCACCCCACTTTCTTGGGGGGTTTTTGCGTAGGTTTTTTTTACCCTGGGATCTCCTGGGGTCAAAACCCCCTCTCCGCACTGCTACCTTGCAGTGCAGAGAACACCTGAATGTGCAGGATGTGGCACCGCAGATATGTCTGTGACACTACATTCTACATGGCCACTCTTGTCTGGATGCCTTACCATCCAAGTGGATGTAAGAAGCACCCCAGTCTAATTCTATTCCATCCTGTTCAAGTACTGAAAATTCATTAATGTACCCATTTTGTAACAAATGCTACTTTGCCCTTAAGATTACATGACAAAAAGAGGAAAGAAAGAAGACCTGCACATCTTTTGTATTAATAATTTTGTCAAGACTCATACAGGTTGGAACAGAATCAGACTTCAGTGCTTAAGTCCCCTTATGTGCCTAATAGGTAGGATAGTATCAGGCCCTGAGAGAAAATACTGGCAGATTGCATTTTAATGTTTCACTGTTATTCTTTCTGAAACCTGGAATGCTATAGGCTACAGATTTCTGTTTGCGTCTTTGAGGGCCTTTTTGTTCACTGTCTCTTTCTATCTAAACCACTTCCACTGTAGAATTACCTATTCGCCAGATCATTTACATCCATTGTATGCTGGTATAAATGACTAAAAATAGCATGCAGTAGCAGAGAATCTCTCTGTCTGTGTAATGGCTGGTGCCAGAATATTGTTTAGATCCTTGACCCTGTTAAGTCTGCTTTCTGCAGTTCCAGTGATGCAAAGCAGATTGCAAGCTGTCTTATATAGAGAGAGCTATCTGAAGACATCATTTATGGAAAGATCAAGGTAATGGGTCCAGCCTGATAACCCCCCCAGTCTCACTGATAACCTCCAGTTTGCTGGGGCAGCCATTTGAAAATCAATGCAGCCAGGTGGAAATTACAACAGTTCTCAGACTGCATTATGCTGTGTGATGGCCAAACCTTAGATGCTTGGTTTGATGTAGAGATGGCTACCTTTCTTTTTCACCCCCTCAGGTTATGCCAGATCCAAAAAGCTAGCCCAACTTTTCCCTTCTGATCACATTTCTCAAAAGTAACAGGCCAAACCACAGACCTTTGCACTTTCTGATCCAATTTTCAAAAAAGCCATTGACTGACATATTCTAAACTTAGGGATTGATTCTGCTGCTACTTTTTATGGGATTTGCTCCCTTGAGCCATATTCTCCTTTTGCTGGCAAAAATGTTAATCAGGAATTACTTTTATGAAAGGTCACCCAAATTAAACCAATGTCACTAAGAAAAGAATGCAACCTATTGACCTCAATTACCTGATTTTATGTTTAGGCTCTGTCTCCAGTAGGGGTTAAAGATGCGCTCAAACTCATTTTAAAAACTCATCTAGACTAGGCATACTGTCTCCAAACAAGCTAAACTAATTGAGTTAAAGACTACCAGGGGGCCCATGCTTAAGCAGTTTAGCATGTATGAAAGTCTACACTGATTACTCACACGATAGACTTTTGGAATTGGTTAGTTATAACATTCTGCAAACTATTTCTAACAACACATCTTCAAATCCTACTCTAGAGATCTAGAGAAGAGAGAGATAAGAATTGGACCCTCAATGTCTATTTTGTTATCTTCCCTCCAAAGCACAGCATGCAAATGATTCAGAGTAAACATTTGCAACAGTTTGTAACATTCCTCTAGCGATCCATTTGCAGCAAAGTGGATTATCTCATCTCATTTTTTTGTAATGAATGATCAGCTGTGATCTTGACACATGAATTTATTGTGGTTGGGTTAAACAAACTAAGTCATAATAAGCTTCAGTTAAAACTACGCTCTGTGTGTGTAGACCAAGGAAAATTCAGCAGTTTGCTTCCCTGTCAGAGCTACAAATGAGATCAGGCTTTTCCTTATCTAGTTTATACTGGATGACTATACACCAAAGATGTGATTTTTTTTCATAGGTTTTGCTAAATATTTGATTGCTTGGTTGGAACAATTCCACACTATCTAAATGAGCTGACCTCCAGATGCATCTTCTCAGGGGCATTACGCTCTGTTTCAGATTATCAGCCGTATGTTCCAAAGGGTAGATTGTCTGGCATGGGTGGGGCTTTTGCCTTCATTTCTACAACTACAAAGATTATACTATGTCGGCTCCTATTTGTAGTTATTCTACAACGCAATGGGGGAAGGGGAGAATTAAAACTTTTTTGATTTAATAATTACAATATTGTTTTCTGTGTAACATCGTCACTTTATTGTACAGTAATTACATAGATAATGGAGTTAATGTGTCTGCCTTATTTTGACAATTTATTCCACACTGTAAATCCTTTGTAGAATTATGTAGCCTGAATTTATGGGGCCAGATTCTCAGATGGTGTGAATTAATGCAGCTGTATTGACAGCTGATACAATAATGAGTATGCATGAGCAATTTTTGTCAGGAAGTGTCCAGAAGTAAAGATTTTCAGAGGGTGTAAAGCAATGAAGTTCCACTGATGGAACTTCATGTATTTACACCAAGACTCTTATCTTCAGGGATATAAGAAGTGATTATGGATATGAATTAATGCATCTGCTAATGTATTTCTACTAGTAATAAATGTTTTTCTGCCACTGGAGAATTACAGAAGTACTAGTAAGCTGCAATTCAGAAACTGAAGGGTTCCTGCAGTTGATCAGGTTAAATGGTCAAAAAAGTGGGGCTATGCATTTTGCCATAATGTCAGTCCATACCATCACTAAAATACAACTTGACATACTAGTTAGGCCTCCTGCCGTCTTATGCATCATCACAACAGTATGTGCAACCTTCTCATGGCCAAAAGTCATGAAAAGAGATGATTTTTGTCAATCTCATGGGGTTTCATGATGGCACATTTTAGGTATTAAGACAATTACAACTTCAGGTAGTAGTACTGAATAAGAAGGAAAAAACTGCTATGGATGTGTCTAGCAGCAGACCATTTATAAGTAGCAGCAACTGAATATGCATGGATAGCATTTTTAACTTGATGGTTCAGATATCTTCAAAATTTCAGTTTTATATTGTGGATAAAAAAGGTCACAAATGCATATTTTGTCCTGTTTGATTGGTGCTATTACCAATCACTTTAGGAACAGGTACTGGAACTAGCAGGCCAAAACAACATACTTAAATAATTGCACACTGGTTAAATATAGCTTTAGTTCTAAACTAGAAATTTTACTTGTTTCTGTAGTCAAATTTAATTCTTTATTCAAATCTGGACTCATATGTATAGTTAAAAATGTATGTTTTGGCCTTATCAGATCATGTTTCTCATTTGCATTATCAGTAACCATTAGATCTAACTAGTGATGGAGCTTGATAATTTGAGCATATTGACTGATTTGCAAGTGTGACATCTGTGCCATACATTCATTTATATTAGTGCTACTATAGTAATATTATCATTCTAAGATTCCAGAAATTTTACATTAGACTTGCCCCAGCACCTCAGTTCTTCCCTGCTTAGGTATTTATGTGCAACATATGAGACAGAATGTAAAATTAGCCTATTTCTATATTGTCACTTCTTTGCTGAGAGATAGCAGATGCTCAAGGTTCTGCAAGTCAAGTGTCTGTAGAAAGAAAAAAAAAGATCACTGAGTATACTTTTCTTTAACTTATATTTATACTGTACACCAATCCTGAAACAGAGGCAACTACAAATAGCACATGGACAATCCCTTCATCCAGGAAATCTCAGCTCACAGCAACGATAATTCTGCCTCAAGTACTCACTCTGTATAACAATCAAAGGTACACAGGAAAATTTCCTTGTTGCTAGCCACAGTTGCCTTGAAAACCTCCATAACAAAGCCAACAATAAAATAGCAGTTTGTTTCGAGACTAAAATCTAACTAGCACGGTAAGAAAAATAAAAAAATATTTCACTTAGCAAAGAGAAAACATAGTATATATAAGAAATAGATACAATGAAAATGGTTTGATTTGCAAAGTCATATAAGAGTGATATTGTAGCTGTAATGGTCCAGAAATTATGCAAAAGGCAAATATTTCTTAGGGTGATATCTTTTATTGGACCAACTATGTAGCTGTAGCTGGGACAAATTTAGATAATCATAGAATCATAGAAGTAGGGTCAGAAGGGACTTTGTAGATCTTCAAGTCCAACCCCCTGCCTGGGCAGGAGTGTAACTGGGCCCAGGTGACCCCAGCCATGTAGGCATCGAGCCGCTTCTTAAAGACCCCCAGAGTAGGAGCCAGCACCACTTCCCTTGGAAGTCGGTTCCAGATCCTAGCCGCCCTGACTGTGAAGTAGTTCCTACAGATGTCTAATCTAAACCTACTCTCCAACAACTTGTGGCCGTTATTCCTTGTTATCCCGGGGGGGCGCTAGGGAAACAATGTCTCCCCCAAACCCTTCTGGTCCCCCCTAGTGAGTTTATAGACGGTCACAAGGTCCCCCCTCAGCCTTCTCTTGTGAAGGCTGAACAGGTTCAGGTCCCGTAGCCTCTCATTGTAGTCTCTCATAAGCTTTTGAATGGAATACATTCCTTCTCAGTGTGTTAACTAGGGTCCTACCTAATTCATGAGGGCTACTCCCCAGTTTCACTGGCAGAATGCAGCCCTGGGCAGCCATTTCATGGCCAGTATGGTGGCCCCTCCCCCATGCCTCTGATTGGCTGACAGGCCCTAGTGGCTCTGCCCCCATCACTGATTGGCTTTAGGAGCTGCCTATCTATGTGGTCCCATCTGTCTATGTGGTCCTGATCCTCATTGCTGATTGGCAGCAAGTTATGGCTGTCCATCATGCAGCCCTGCCCCTCACAACAGATTGGTAGAGAGGGGTGGGGCCACATGACAGGAAGCCCTTGTAGCCAATCAGCAGTAAGGAGCAGGAGCAGCAGCCATCTTATCAGCAGCCCTTTGAGCAGGCAGCCCCCTCTTTGTCCTCTTCCAAACTCCAGCAAGTTGCCATAGCACTCAGTAATTATTTTTCCGTGGATTTTGCAAGCAATGCTGGATTTCTCAGAATCTGTAAAAATCACAAATTCAGTAGGTCCCTATTGACAACCAATAGGGTCCACCACATTTGCCTTCTCCTTCTCCTAGCCTCCCCATACTATCTATTTCTAACTTGCCATGACTTTGATGTTGTTTGTAGTCAGGAGTGGGGAGAGGGTCCTTTGACCAGTAGTAGCCTTGTGAGTTGCCAGAGTTTCATCCCCATGCAGCACTCTCCTTCAAGGGTTGCTCTTGTGCATTTCCCAGGGCTTTAGCTATCATAGCCTAGGCTCCTTCTTCCTCTCTGGCCATGCCTTACCTTGGTCCACTGATTAAGACCGCAGCCCTAGGGATCAGCCTCAGTATGCCAGTTTTTGCTTTACAGCTTGAGGCTGTCTCCTGGCCACTGTAACAGGGGGCTTACCCCAGCACCCCTGTTCATGGACTCCCCCACCCCTGCAGCCACAATCTGGTCCTCCAGTCACACATCAAAACTGAACCAAAAGCACAAGCTAGCTGCTTCAAATGGAAACAAGTAGTCTCCCTCTTTGCATAGGTGCTGCCCACAGGTCTTACCTTCTTGGGAGTCTTCCTCCCAGCTTCCCTGGGTGGCTTGGATTTCTGTCTGTCTCTAGCAGGACGCATACACAAGAGCCCCTCTCCCTGCTGCCCAGGCTCTTCAAGTATGGTTGTCTGCTCACCTTAAATCCCTCAACCTAGTCTTCTTCCAGTCACCTGACCAGGTCTGCCCACCCCTAGTCACCAGGTACAACTGCTTGCTTCCTCAGCCACCTGATCTTACCAGTCCCGAGCTGCTTGCATATACCTGTGCTGGTATTCCTAACTACCTTTTCCCCAACCCACATATACTATCCTCTCAAGCCCCCCTAGTAACAGGGGCAGGGGCTCCCCGTTGCACTCAGGTTTGCAAGGCAATTCTTAGGGTTTCTTTTTTTAAAACACATTTTCAGGCAGAACTTAAACTGATGGTTTTTGTTTAAAGCAAACAATGTTATTTTAGTTTTAAAAGGAATTTTGAAAGAAATCCTTCAACTAATGCTACTTTAAATGATTGGTTGTGTAGTATTTTATATTTGCCATCTAAATCATATCAGCATTTTTATAAAGTAATCTGCTTTGTTTTTAGCTATTTTGAAGCATGCTAACCATTAGTTTATGGTCACTATAATTTTGTTCATTAGGATTTTCCACACTGTATCTCAGAACATAAGAATTCTGGCCTTGATTTTTAATTGACCTGTACCACATGTACTCAGTGCAAAATGGGTCCAAACATTCTGCTTCAGTAACATAATACATTCACTTGTGCCACCATAAAGAATTACACTGGGCTTGGTGCAATAAAGAATCAGGTTTGTTATCCCTAAGAAGCAGTTTTTAGCTAGTTCTGTATGTCATACATTAAACATTCATGGTTATTACAATGATTACTGTTAGCTCACTTGCCAATCCAGTAATCATAGCCCACTGTTTTAAATGCAGCATAATCCAAATCTATTTCCTTTCCTTGCTTCTTCCTCTGTGCTGGTATGGACAGATACAGTAGCCTAGTCTGCCATGAGCAATCTCTCCATCTATGCCGACCTAAACTGATTTTTCACTCTTATCATTACCAGCATCTGCCTATTTGTATAGGATAAAATATAAATGTTCCACACCACCTTTTTTTGTCAATTTCTGTTTCAATGCATACTCAGTAATGACTATGTGACATTTCAGTTTGAGTGAATAAGAATGAAGGGAACATTTGCTGGTATGATGTATTTTGTTGATAATACTAATATCACCATGTGCTGCAGGTTTGTT